AAGTCTGTGAGACTCTCATCTCCAGTTGACTGCCACAAAGCCAGAAATGGAGCTGTGGTTTAAGTGGCAGAGTGTTATCCTTGAACAAAAAAGTTCAGTAACAGCACCTAGGCACTGCATTCAAGTCCTAGGACCAGCATTTAAAAAAAAAAAATCCCTAAGTGTGAGAAGTATATATGAGAATGCCTATCTATTTTGTTTGATTTTGTTTGCTCTGAAATGTAAACACATTTTTTTTTTAATAATTAGAGTATTTTAGCAGGGCCTTGGTGGCTCACTCAGGAGGCTGAGATCTGAGGATCGTGGTTCAGAGCCAGCCCTGGCAGGAAAGTATGTCAGACTCTTATCTCCAATTATCTACCAGAAAACTGGAAGTGGCGCTGTTGCTCAAGTGGTAAAGTGCTTGCCTTGACCTGAAGAGCTCAGGGACAGTGCCCAGGCCCAGAGTTCAAGCTACATGACTGACAAAAAAAAATGATAATAATAATAAAATGATAATTAGAGTATTTTGACCAATTTCTTTCCATAAATAACTTTCTTATAAATCCTTCCAAGGAATTCCAGATTCTCAGTATAGGTAAAGCAGCCAGTATAAAAGTCAGCTTCCTTTTGTTAGTTCTTCTTTCCCTCTGTGGCTGAACTTTTGTGAATCTATGTTCAGTGAGTTAGCAACAGCTTTGAAAAAAAAATTTAAAAATACAGAGGGCCGGGGCTGGGAAGGTGGCTCAGTGGTAGAGTGCTTGCCTTGCATGCATGAGGCCCTGGGTTTGATTCCTCAGCACTACATAAGCAGAAAAAGCCAGAAGTGGCGCTGTGGCTCAAGTGGTAGAGCACTAGCCTTGAGTTGTAGATTCGAGGGACAGTGCCCAGGCCCAGAGTTCCGGTCCTACGACTGGCCAAAAAAAAAACAAAACCAGAAGGCATTTTAACTTCCCCACAATGATAGAGCTTTGGAGAAAATCCTTGACAATTTATTTTGTTCTTTCATTCTTTTATTCAGTCCATCTCGGACTTCCTGAAAGCCAGATACTGTGCTAGGTTTCCCAGTATGGGAACAATTTAGAGTCAGCCACTGCCTTCCAGGAAGTCCCAACAATACAGACAAAGGGTATCAAGAACGGCTGGTCCACAGTCAAGAATATCCAGAATGTATCACTCAAGGTATAGCTGTCCCCTGAGCTTAGTTGAAGACTTCCACAGAAACTGCATCTTATGGCAGATCTGTGCAGTCAAAAAGAAATGTGGAGCTGGGCGCCATGGCTCACGCCCGTAATCCTAGCTACTCAGGAGGCTGAGATCTGAGGATCCAAGGTTCAGAGCCAGCCTGGGCAGGAAAGTCTGTTAGACTCTTATCTCCAATAAACCACCAGAAAACTGGAAGTGGCACTGTGGCTCAATTGGTAGAGCGCTTGCCTTGAGCTAAAGAGCTGAGGGACAGAGCCCAAGCCCAGAGTTCAAGCCCCACGACTGACAAAAAAAAAAAAAAAAAAGGAATGTAGAAATCCATCAAAAGAAGAAAGAAATCCTGCATTGCCAATAGGGTGGTTAGTACTAATCCTGCTTCCATTTCTGATGTGCTCTGAATCTATTATGGCTTTCAGATATCCATACTGTCCTCTTGGGTTGTTTATTTGTTTTTGTGTTTTTTGTTTCTTGTTTTCTTTTTGGCGGCTGTGGGTCCTGACATCTGGGCCTGGGCGCTGTCCCTCAGCATTTTAGCTCAAGGCTAGTACTCTACTACTTGAGCCACAGTACCATTTTCTGGCTTTTTCTGCTTATGTGGTGCTGAGGAATCCAACCCAAGGCCTCATGTATGCAAAGTAAGCACTCTACCACTGAGCCATATTCCCAGCCCTGGTTGTTGTTTTTTTTGTTGGTCGTGGGGCTTGAACTCTGGGCCTGGGCGCTGTCCCTCAGCTCTTCAGCTCAAAGCTAGCTCTCTACCACTTGAGCCACAGTGCCACTTCAAACTTCTTATGTTTATGTGATGCTGAGGAATTAAACCCAGGGCCCATGTGAGACAAGCACTCTACCAGTGAGCCACCTTCCCAGCCTTGGTCTCTTGTTTTGACCCTAAGCCCTTCCTACATGTTTTTGTTTTTTTTTTCCTAGAAAAGGCACAGGCTGATAGAGAAGTTCAACCTTCCTTTAAAGCACCTTCTACTAGCTCTCTGCAATTCTTTTTTGAACTGAACAATTGAAAAGCTACCTTCAGAGTCTGTCTCTCCCTTCCTGGCTTCAGCCTTCCCTTAATATTGTATGTGGTGATCCCTAGCTTGAACAATACCTTGTATAACTGCCTTGAGTGTCCAGAAAACTTTCAACTAAACTAATTGCATCTTTAAAGTACTAATTTCAAAGCCAGTGATTTGCAACTTTAGTTCTAGCTACTCAGGAGGAATGGTCCATTTTTTCCTCCAATTAGTTTTACCTCTTCATACTGAAGTATTAAAAGCGTAAGAGTATAAAGAATATGAGCAAATTTGCAATTGAATCAGAATGATTAGACACAGAAGAGGCATTAAAGCTTGATTGTTCCAATCCCCCTGTTTCACAGATAAGGAAATAGACTCAGAGAAGGCAGTTGATTTAAATTATACAACTCATCAGTGGAAGATTCACATTTAACTCCATGTGTGCCATGCTCAAATTTTAGCACTAAAAAAGGAAACTTTCAGTAAAATGCCTCTTAGGACCAGGTAGAAATACTACTTGAAGTATTGAACTGTGTTTGCATCCCTGTTTGCCTCCTGATGAGTAAGGAAGACCCCATACACACAGAAAGAGATTGCTCATAACACTGTCCAGGGAGATGTCACAGGGCCCACATATTAGGGGATGGGGCAGCAAGGCCTCGCACACAAGTGGGACAGGAACATTTTCACCAGCCTCATGTGAGGAGCTTGGAAGGAACAGGAGCTAGCTTCAGTGTTTTCCCTCAGGTGTAGCTTGTCTTTGTCCATGCTGGGCCCAAGAGAATTTTGGCACAGCTTTGACTGAACAGTCACTGGATAGAAGGTAGTGATCTGGGAATCCATGTTAAGTGACTGGATTCCACTAGTGGACATAGAAGGCAATGCCAGATGTCAGGTACAGGCCAATTTTTTTTTTTTTTTATACAGTATAAAGTTTGAACTCAGGATTTTGTGTTTGCTTGTCTTGCTTACTTGGCTGGTGTTCTACCAACTGAGCCATGTCTCCAGTCCTGGGTTTTTTTGCTAGTTATTTTTTAAATAGGGTCTAGAGAACTCTTCTGCCTTGGCTGGCCTTGAACTGTGATCCTTCTGCTCTCAACCTCCCCAACAGTTAGGATTATAGATATGAGCCACTGGGGTCTCACCAGATCTAACTAGAGGGAGACAAATTCTTTGAAATAGACTTGGTTCACCATACTCCATGTGTGCCTAGCATACTGAACCTTTATATCAAAACAAATACTTTGTTACATATAAATAGCTGCGTAGTTTTTCTAAATGTAAAAGTAAGGCCTGTTTCTTGCTAAAGAGCCTGAAAGAGGAAAGTAAAAAATAGGAGGAACTTATGAACAACACACACTCAAGCCCACAAGAAATGGGCTTGATTGAGTTTATGTTAAACTTGAAGATGTTTTGGACCTGTCAAGCCAATAAATAATGGAGATTCATTCCATCTGTGTTATTTTGGGGGGTGGGATGGGGATAGGAGGTGGTGGTTAAAAGATGCTGGGAAGGAAGGATGGCTCCACTGGGATTACCTCTGAGAACACAGGGTCCAGAGCCAAACAATAGGCCCTTACTTTATCTGGGGAATGTCTTCTTTTACCTCCTGTAATTGCTGATACCATAATTAGGCCTGCATATTTTCTTCTGAACACGGCCTTACAAGGCACTGCATTTAGCTGGGCTTATGGAGATTAGATCATGCACAGGAAGCTGGCTCTTTGGTTATCGGGCTCCACCGAGGAGTCAGAAGGATTAAGAAGTTTGAAAAATTTGGGTAGGTTTAATGAGGCAGGGTTTGTTGGAAAAGCACAGATTTTCCCAGCCTGTGCATGTAGTACCATGGCCTTTCCTTTCATATAAACAGCACTGCCTCTGACTTCAGTGATCTATCAAGAAAGATATCTTTAAGCTTCCCTTTCCTATATATCCTTAAATAGGTTTGCTAAAATTGACTTTGGAAGATTGTTGCAATATCACTGAACTAACTCCCTAAAGAATCTCCCATAATACCTGGAAGATAACAAACCTCTTCTAATTTCTTGAACCTATATTAAGAATATAATCTTGTCAGCTCCTCCTCTTTCTCCTTTTTCATTATCATCAACCATGTTACCAGATCTGAATTCATTTATTGTAAAGTTACATTTTCAAATCCTTTTGTGTTTGGTTGGAGGTTTGAATAACATTCTAGACACTTTGAATTATCTGCCTGGAATTACTATACTTGGCTTGTTTGGGTCTTCCTGTTCCATTACAACAATCTGAGGGCCAATGGCACTAACTCACTTTGACATTTGCAGAGTGCCTGAGACAGTGCTTTGAACCAAACAGTGTTCAATACAAAATTTGCTGCAGTGAATGCATTTATGCTAGACATTGAAAGATGCAATGAAGATATATAAGCTAATCATTGCTAATAAAATTCAGCATCTCACACACTCACCCATGGAAAGCCAGGGTAGATCTAGGTATACAGTATGTCTTTTCTGAACTGAGAGTGATAAATGTAGAATGAGCTATGTTTTGTTTCAAATGTAGGTATTTCCCCCCCCCCTTTTTTTTTTGGGTCCGGTTGTGGGGCCTGAACTCTGGGCCTGGG